CCTCCATCATCATCGGTAGCAGTCAGTTTCAGTAGTACAGTACCGACTTTGGTGTCTTCGCTGACATGGAGACGATACCAATGCTGAAAAATGCTGTATTATTATTGAAGGTAAAGTAGTCAAATAAAAAATGTAGTAAAGAATGGTGAAAATGCGGTGAAGGTATAGTAAAGTTACAGTTTGTTACTTTCAAACGTCCCATCAAAGTCACAGTAGCACGGCAGTTCAAATTTGGTGTCCGGTCAAATCTGAGTTTATTATTTAGGAACTGTTTAGGAAGTCTAAACTAAGCCAATGCCCAAGCCGTAGCTCATACAATTCATTCATGACCTACAAATACAACTCTAAACTCATGCCCACCACCGTACTCGTGTACGGTATTGCTGAAAGTGTACGGTAGTGGGCGAGTGTTTAGAATCGGATTTCTCGGTCAAGAATGGATCATATGAGCTGCCATTTGAACAAAGGCTTAAGCTTTTGGAACGAAGGCCTTCTAGTCAGTATTCAAACAAAAACTCCTAATTTTTAGAAATTTTCTGGACAGCAGTCTTCAAAATTTCGCCAACTTGTATACCTCAACCCCTAATCATCAAGTTCCGTCTAGTACCTACTACCCAAGCCAACGCGCCACGACATTTGATGTGTTATCTGGCGAGAAATCGCCTAATCCTTCGCCCCTACCACCATACATCAAATCAGCGCCATGGCTATGAGGTCGAACACATTCCGCAAATTAATGACGGGCAAAGAGGATTCTTCGGACACAATCGTAATCATATATATGGGAGAATAGATGTTCGCAAGGTTTCCTACATTTTTAGGCCATCAATGGAATGAGAATGGATCACTGATTTGATTAGCAGCTTTGTCTGATTTTACACACCTTGCGCTTCAATTCACACCATTCAATGACAAAAAGTTACAAAATTCGTTATAAATTGATTCAACGAAGTAATGACAGGATTTATTCACACTGTTTGATGACATTTTTGGTTTTGCAGGATGTCCAATTGCAAAGACGGTAGTTGTAAAAGATAGAGTGTGAATGTGCAATTGCACAGAAACGCGCAATCGCGCAAAAAAATGTGGATCTCCAACAAAGAAAATTTTCTTTGTCAATACACTTATCGTTTTCTCTATCTTTTCACAACAACATTCATCACTCCTTTAAGCTATAGCCGCTGACAACGAGTTTTCCGCGCATATGTGCGCTGGTGTGCAATTGCACAAACTACTAGCATTTAATTGATGAACTGAATTTATACTCCATCACCGAGCCTAGAAAACTCTATGTTACGCGCGCAGTTTTCAACAGGTTCACGCTTGTTCCTAAGTTTTTTGCATAATGTGTGCAATCGCACATTTTAGTACATGAATTGCTCGACTATACGATTATTGACGCCAAAAAATATTGAAAAAAAACTCATCGAAAATGTGACATTTGCTCGCTTTCCTAAACGATAGCAGCCTTTTTTCACCCATTCTGCATACGCTGACATACACTTTCAGCTTTTTTTTTCTATACATATACCTTGCAACTCAATACCGAAAATAGAAAACTATTAGCAATCCATCTTTTTTATCCAACATTCATCTCTATTAGCTCTAATGTCAACTTTTACGTCTGCATAGTCGAGCAAGTGATGGATGTTGGTCTAATAGAAGGATTAAAGTAAGCATGCGTGCAGTAGGT